CAGCCTTGTGCGATCTTGACAAATTCTTTTTCGGGCAAAGGTACAAAACACTTGCTTCTTGCTGTTTTGAACCTTTGGAGAAAACTTTCTGCCCATTCATTTGGCATTTGACGTAGATTCGCCAAATCAGCCAAAGTGACTTCAGATTCAGTTTTGTAAAACTGAGCATGAAACAACTGTTCCAGTTGTTGCCATATTTGAACAGAGTTCGCTGGCAAGTTAATGAACCAGGAGAAAGCTACTCCTGTTAACGAACTAGGGAAAAGTCTCATTTTATGGTAATCAGTTACATCACCACTTTGAAACGTGAATCGCCCTATGTGTTCCAGAGTAGACACCTCTCCTAAACCAGTAAACAGTGAGAATTCTGGCACTTTGTACCCTCTAGGCCATGGATATGCTTGGTCTACCCAATCAGGATATGGCTTTGTGTAAGTCGGTCTAATGACAGGACGCACCCCAAAGGCCATCTGATCCTGCACGATTTCCATAATCTGATTTCTCAACATGACATTGGGATCGTATGGAATTCCTACAGGCTGATTAACCGGTTGATTTGCATGAGGTCTGATGTTTGGTTCTTGATTGGCAACAAAATTACCATAATTAGGGCCATTACCATTAGCCTGGACATCTACCCCCTCGTTACCACGTGGAATATTCTGTCCATTGTTTAGGACACTATCTCTCACGTTTGGATTACCCCCCAAGTTAGGCATACCACTACTACTACTTTGATTTGGTATTGTCGCACCTCCTTGGTTTGAAGTAGAGGGGCCAGAAAGTGGTTCTACCCCTTGACTTGGATTTGGGACGGAAGGATTATGTCCTACGATCGTCCTAGTTTGAAAGTGACTTGCAAGAGGTATAGCCGGTTGACATATTTGGCCCACTAACTTGTTCATTGTTTCATTCAACGTCTTTAGTTGTTTGGCCATATTGTCATAGTGTGCATTACCACTTTGTGTAAATCTTTCCATATTATGAATACTTCAAAGATTTACCTGTTCAACGACGTCTTGCGTGAGTTCTCCAAGCAATGCACGCATGGTTCGAGGACTCAGCTCCGTCATTGGTTCATAACGACTGTTACTGCTTTGATTTTGTCCATCTGTTCGTGGAGAGGCATGTTGCTCCTCATATCGCTCGATTACAGATTGGATTCCTCCCTGACTTGCTCCTTCCTTGTCAGATCTCTGAGGCATATTGTTTCACCTTTTGCACTTTCAACACTTAACACCACTGTTCCACCGGGCGTGCCAAATTGTTTCGCGCGTGTTAATTCGCTAACAATTAAAGAGGATCAGAGGATTGTGTAAGGGACGAAACCTCTTGAAACAAAGTCCCAAAAAGGGGTGTTCTTTTTATTGGCGATAAACTTTACAATTGGAAACGGAAAACAACGTGCCTCCAAGGGGCGCAAGCACACGAGTTACAGAAAAGGAAGTGTTTAAATCTAAAAGCTAAAGAAATGAAAATTACATATTCTCTGTTCGAGAGTTTTGGATTCGGTCCTTTGCTTCTAAGGTCTTTCTCCCTTTTATACTTCATAGGCGATCCCTTTGTGATTAACTGCTCTAAAAAACTGCTTGATCGCCCTATAACTACCCACTTTCTTTGTAATGGCCATTTTGTCATGAAACTGTCCTTTTAACTGCTGTCATTATCTTGCATCGTTCAACCGCTTTCGATTGAACCCCTTGAATCGTGGAACGTGATAATGTTACTTTAGCAACTGCCTCAATAACTGCATTTCTTGATAATCATAATGCGTTATGTTTGTTGATACCTTGGGCGACTTGAAGATTTGGGCGAGACTCTGGGCGACCGTATGCCACTCTATTCGTTCAGATTCTGAACGACTTGCAAACTTGGGCGATGGCGTTACCGCACTATTGGGCCCCTTATTTGGGCATTCACCTTGATTCGTTCAATTGGATTTCGTTCTTTGGACTATTTGATTTGGGGATCCTCCAATTGGGCTTTACTCTCTGGGCTGTTCGATCTGGGCTGAATTTTTATGTGTCAACAGAGTTATTCTCATTCTATGCCTAAATGTTTTTGTAGATACAATGACGGGAATTTTGTATAAATTCTTGTCGGTGGAGAGATGATTCGATGTTCTCCTTTTATAGCATTCCAATTGCATATTCATTTTACATGCATTAAATAAGATAAGAGTCATTCTCACTATGCCTAAAAGTTTTTTTTCTTTCAAATTGTTACATACAGAAAAGAAAACAGATGATGAAAAGAATAAATGTTCAATAACCACGGAAACTTTTAGCATATATTGTGGCGCAACCTATGCCAACTTTCAATTTATTATTGATATTCACGTTTGAAACTATCACATTGGAAGTCAATTCATCAACATATTTATCCTGTGCCGCCATAGCATGGTGTCTCTGTACTGCAACGCCGGAAAACCTGTGAGGACTCCGGCAAATCCCCCAAATCACCATACAAAAACTCATCCTCTTCTCCAATTGGCATGAACACTTCCAAGTCGGCTTGTGCCCAAGTGGAACCCAAAATAACAGGACTATCCAGTACTGTACGCCCAACATCGGCCAACCAGCCAAACTCGACAGCGAGCTCGGTGAAGACACTGTCCTCCTGCTCGAGTTTTGGCCGGTTGGCAAATGTAGCACATTCTTCCTCGGCGGGAACAGTAGTGGCGGACGAGGAGGTGGAGGCGGCCGCTGGCGGGGCAGAGTGGTGGTGGTCGTATTTTGTGGTGGCGAGGAGAGGGTGGTTGTGGTCACAATAGTAGGTGATGAGGAGCATGGTGGGATCAAGGTGGCTCCGCTCAACTTGTTTCCTAGCAGGGCAACCTTTTGAGCTGCTGCACCTGTAATATCCCCTGCCATGCAATACATGCAAATAGACAACTTAGTAAACAGCAAAAACGTGTATGAAAGCAAATTATCCACTCCATTTGTCTTATTTAGCCCAAAAAAAAAAAAAAAAAAGATTTAACTTTTTTAGAGACTATTTTTTTCTAACATTTAAGAAATAGAATGCAACATAATTGTAGAAGATTGTTATTCACAAGTTGGGAATATACTAAAGTCCCCGTTTGAGAGCGATTTTGAGAATTGATTTTTTGACCATTAGAAAAAAAGTGGGGGCCACCTACGAGATAAGAACTCAAACTTTACAGCTGAAATAGTGAAATAACAAAATATATATATATATATATATATATATCATTTTTTTGGGGTGAAAAATCATTCATGAACACACCGTAAGCCCCTATTTGAGAGCCATTTTGTATCTAATTTGTAGAGAAATTCATGTCGTTATACAGTGCATCGGTGTCGCAAATATTGACTGAAATAAGTTGAATGACCTTTTTAGCCCTTTTACCATTTGATTCCGTAAAAAATCATTTTTTTGGGGTGAAAAATCACTCCTGAACACACCCTAAGCCCCTATTTGAGAGCCATTTTGTATCTAATTTGTAGAGAAATTCATGCCGTTATACAGTGCATCGGTGTCGCAAATATTGACTGAACTAAGTTGAATGACCTTTTTAGCCCTTTTACCATTTGATTCCATATTCCTTTTTATAAAAGGATATTTCTGAAAATAAGCTCGCGTTGAGTCAAGAATTACTGCACAAATAGGACCCGCATACCTTTAAAACGATCAAAAGGTTGATTAAAATCTGGATAGTATAACTTCCAGGCACATGCTAAGTACAGAAAATGAGTGAGTTCTTAGATTTTATTAAAAAGATAAAGATTTAACTTTTACTTTTCATCTTCATCTGTTCAGTATTCACTAATGTTCTATTCATTGTCATGTAGACTCGTACATTGTGGGGTATTATTTCTCTTGCAAAGCACTAATGAGAAATTTAGAACTTGTTGACAAGCTACATAAAATAATAAGTTATCAAAAGTAAAGTGCATTAAGTTGGAATCTTATCTACGAATTTTCTTGATTGGGCACTTTACCCATTCAACCATGGAAGCAAAGAGACTCAACAAGTGAACTAAGTTTTGGTATTCCTTCTCGAGCTTCTATTTCTTTCATTAAAAGAAATTGAAGAAAAGATATCGATGATATATGCTCTAAAAACATATGAAGTGGCCCCAAAGATTTCCAAATTTTGGTAGATGGAAGGAGGTGGCACATAAACCAATTTTAGGCGCGTGATGTGCATAAGTTTCAACTACTCCAAGTGCCCATTCAATGCATTTTTCAAAGCCGCCTACGATAATCTAATCTATATACAGTTAACCATCACCATTCACCTACTCCCTTTCCGGCGGCAACCACAAGAAAGATTGAACTGGTTCATATGCTATTTATATGCAAGTAAAAATAATAAAAAATGGATTAAATTTGAATCTTTACCTTGGATAAGGTGAACCCTTTATGGGTTTCTGACCATATTTCCTCCAGGAACAAGAATCCGGCGGCGGATACACCTCCGATTTACTCCGGGATCCATCGCTGCAAATTGGTATTGTCACTACCTTCTTCTTTGCGCTTCTCCTAATACAACAACTCAACGGAATCTATATTTACTTTCGTTTCTCACTCCTCAATTGAGAGAAAACGACTACACTGAAAATTAAAAAAAAAAAAGAAAAAAAAAGTACTGAACTTTAAACCTTTTTTTGGGCGACGGCTCGTAAACTTCTTCAGGTGCTTCATCCCCAAGGGAAAGTGGAGAATCGGCCACGTTTTCTAGAGTGCTGGTGGAGTCATCTTGCTCATGAAATCTACCTTCCATTATTATCATGCATTTGTATCTATATCTGTGTATGTATAGGTTTCATTTTACTGTCGCCGGAAAGAGTTGGTGAGGATTGGGGGAGGTGGTCGATTTTCTGAGTTTGGATTTATGTATAAATGATGGATTATCACAAGAGTAATTTATTATGGACGTGCAAGCCAATTCACTTAGGCCTATTTGCCATACAATATTGTAACAATATAATATTTATTAATTTAATTTAATTTTTATTATTGGTTAGGGCTTGTTTGGCAGTAATTTTAATAATTGATTTTTTGATCGTTGAAGAGAAAAGTGAGTCCTACGTATGAGAGAAGAAGTCAAAAATGACGGATTGAATAGTGAATTAGCGATAAAAAAAATTGATTTTTTGGGGTGAAAAATCTATGTCAAATATACACTTAATTCGAGTGTTCTATAATTCACCAAATAGCACCAAATTTTTTGTGCAAATCACCTCAACCCATTGCCCTATTTTGCACCAAAATAGTTGAATACGTTTTTACCATTCTCTTCCACTTCGAACCAATTTTTGTTAAGGGTATATTTCTCAATTTGTTATACAATAAATTTATTATTATTATTATTATTATTATTATTATTATTATTATTATTATTATGTGCATTTGTAATAGATTTTAATCATTTAATCAATAATAATTAGTTGTAATATTATTTCGACTTTGTGATATCATGATATTGCGATTTGAAATGTATTACACTATTTTTTAGTATTATAATTTAATATTTTCTTAGTTGTATTTCTATCAATTGTACTACATTTTTAAAATTTATCAATTAATTCAATATTTTTGTTAACTAAATGTAATTATATAAAAATTTATGTAGTAATAAAATAATAAATAAAAATTCAATAAATGAAGAAAATTATGAAACATTATTCATTTGGTGCAACTTTTGGTATAATGAGTTGGAGGTGATTTTCTGTTTTGTGCATGAGTTGATGCAAATTATGCAAATTTTGGTGTAATGTAAGGTTGGAGATGGTCTAAAAAGCTAGCCTAGGCGCAGCCTAAACTTGAAATTTGGGCAAAACGTCTCGCTTCACACTTAGAATTTTTTTTTTTTTTTCAATTCTTAAACGATTGAACTTCTTCCTTCCTCTCTTTCGTCTTTCCTAGGCATACATTATTATTATTATTATTTTCATTGTTAAAAAGCCTTTTATTCAACTTTAGCTGGTTATTATTATTTATTTTTTTAAAAGAACTTTTCATTGACTTTAATTTCAAGTTTTTAAAAGACTTTATTTGTGCAAAAGTTAAAAATTACTTTATCTAACTAATTAAATAAAATTTAAGTTATGATGCTATCTACGTTATATAATTATAATCTTGAGACTCGTTATTTTGTTGTAAACTAAAAAAGCATGTATGAAATTCCTATAAATTTATTAATTGAAACTATGAAAAATATTTTTATTTTTGCATTTTGAAAACTTCAAAATTGCATAATTGATTAATGGTAGGATTTATTAAGTAAATATAGTATTTTATTACTCTAGATATTTGATATGTATTATTTTAATTATTAAATGATTTTTAAAATGTTTGAAATGTTTAAAATAATATTAAATATAAGAAAACGTTTTTTTACGTTTAAGCCTCGTTTTTAGGCTCCGTTAAACACATAAAGCTTGAAGCTTCACCTCCCACGTCTACCCACACTTTACACTTTTCAAAACACTGATTAATTGATCTTATCAATATACAGTTCATACATTCTTATATAAATCACGCTACATATATAGGAATTTTTGTCAATCTGACAGATTGTTAGTCGATATAATTTCATTAAACGTTGGACAAAAAATAACTTCAAACCAATCAATTTAGTATTGTCGTCTCATTCATCCGTATAAATCTCTGTATATTTCACCTATACAAGAAGTTTAATTCTTTTTTTAATTAAATTTATAGATTTTTAATGTGGGCCCTCAAAGTCCTCTCAATATTATCATCATCTTGCTAATGATATTAAGTCATATCAATCGCACAAATTATACTGGTATGATGTTAGCCAGGTCCCACTCTATTGACTATTAGTTTTCAATAAAAACAGAAGATGAATTTTCTTCTCTGTTTCATTCATATGGTAAGAAAACGATTAGAAAACTGGGATTTACAAATTAATGTATCATTATTCATATTTGTACATTTACGTAGAAATGGCACTAAAAGTTTTCTTTTGTTTTTATTAGAAATTCACAAATTTATCTATCATATGAACTCTTTTCTGGGGAAGATTCAAATTAAAGGGAAATTGTTTATTAGATACTCATTAATTATTAACTTTAATTTAAATTATTATTTACTTTTTTAGCTAAATCAAACCAGACTTATACTCGAACTTTGATATTGTTGTATATGCTGACGCCAATGAAGATTTTGTCTTAGGATTGACAAAACAATTTATGGAACAACTACCAAGTCATAAGAATCCCCACATATCATATCCATTACAGGAGGAAACGTCATTTTTTTTTCTTTTTTCTTCATTAAAAAAGAAAAAGAATAACAACTCATATGTCACGTTGCGAGAACATATCAATACAACCTACATATAGTGCAATGCATTTATACAATTACATTAGAGATCGAGTGAATTTATGCTAAAATATAGCAATTCGAGAAACTCGTGAATAAGAAACTTTACAATAATAGAAAACGAATTAATGTATAATATTTGAACAATGTAATAAACAAAATTCTCAGGCATATGAGAACTGCAGAATTTAATGTTTGGTGCAGTGCAACTTCATGCTGTATCATTTATGAATTATATGATAGTCAACACTCCTTAAAAGCATTTACATTTGTCCACATGAATGGAATCGACGTTCAACAACCCACCCACCTACCACCCTTGGGTGGCGTGGGAGTGGGGGTGGGGTGAGGGGGGGGGGTGATGAATGAAATGGAAATTTGAGAGTTTTTAGTGGCAACTTCATAAGTTGCATAATCTAAGAAAGGACTAAGGAGGGTGTGACATTAACGAACATAATTATTTCGACCATATTTATGAACACAACATCAAGGTGTCAAGTTAGTCTAAACTAATTAACATGAAGTGCTTCAAGCTCCTATATGTTACAATCAACTTATAATTCAAAAATACATATGAAGTATGTCGAAAACTCGAGATAATACGTATATATCCAAAATTTAAGTATATTAACTTGATCGTCTTGTCAAATTAGCCATCCTATCAACGTACAACATATTCTGAAATCAACAAAAGCTATATCAAATTCTTGTCAACGATACATTGTACTAGATATGTTAATCTCGGGTTTTGCCTTCCTTAAGAATGCTTATATAATTAGTAACGGAAAATTTCTAGACGTAAAATAATTGGTTTAATATTGATTTTTAAAATAATTGGCAACGTAACGGAAGGATCGAATAAAATAAAAAAGGAAAGAAAGACGTTCAAGCAACACTAAATATTTTTATATGTAAAACCAAGACAGATAGCTCCAGTTCAAAGATTCCTTGAATAAAAATTTATTAACTATTTAATAAAAGATTAAATAATAATTATTTGTTAAAGATAAGATGGCATCACACATCACCATATCTGCTAAGAGATTATAAATTAATATAAGTTAATAATTGATTAATTTATTTTGTAATTGTTTAGGCAATGGAAAAAAATGACCGCTTCTTAATCCGTTTGCTTTCTTCTCTAAGAAGAGGAGAAGATGTCAACCTTACATGTCATACTGTAGGGTTTATAGATATTAATTTTAGTCAAGGATTAGTAATATGTTTGATTCTTCATGGGGAGCTTTTGAGATGGTCTAAATATGTTACTCGAATGTATATTGAAGTTTTGTTAATATTAGAAGTCTATTTTTAGCTTCTATTTTATTTTTTTGGTCATTCCAATTTCCAACAAATATTCGATATTCTAATGCGGATTAAAATAAATTTTAATAAAAATTGATGAAATGTGTGATTGAAAAATTATAAATCTCATGAAATATGTTATTAAAATTAATTGTCGACTTTGAGTTATATTAAAATCTGAATTTTAAGCCCTACCAAATAGGAACCGAATTTCATTTGAAAAAATGCCATGCATTCATATGCGTTGATGTCTAGCGATTTAGTGATACTTTGAGAACTAGAACGAACGTATTCTCATCATGAATTATTACCATGAAACCATTGATCCTATGAGAAAAGAGGAAAGTCGAACAATAACAAAATGGATTGAATCTTATTCTTTATATTTTGAAGTATTTATTTCACTTCCACAATTTTAAAACCAATAGAGTATGACAAAGATGAAGATTTTCTACCTCCTAGCTTTTTCTTCCGTTTTGGTAAACTATACAGTTTTTATTTTAACCCTCAGTGAAGACAGTGGCCATTTCATTCCAAAAACGTAGCCGACAATGGCAATAATTATAGTGTAGAAAAGCACAAATAGTTGCAGACTACAGCAGCTTGAAGAGTGTCACTAACAGAAGCTGTCAAAAGCAGAGCAGCCAGCTAAAATCTACAACCCTGCTCCCTGTCCCGGCTTGGGGACAGGGTCAGGATCATAGCACCCCGTATTGGAGGGGCGCCGGGACAGGGGGCTTCATTCTAAATTCTATGATTTATAAATATCAGGCAACGATTTTGGGGCCAAAAAGCTGTTGAGTAACTCGTGCAGTAACAGACCGGAATGATCACATTTAGAAGTTGCCATATGAACTGATAAAAATACAACTAAATTAAACCTCAGCGAAAATGAACTCGTCTGCAAAACACGTAAAACCAGTTCTCCAAAACTTCAGGCTCAGGAAGTAAAATTCAGGTCTATAAAATGCAAAATATAAAACTTCGACAGGATAGTCCTCCTGTGCTCTCAAACTAAGTATTGGAGGACTTGTTGAGAATAACACCTTCATATTTCACCTGGAACCACTTCATTGCATCCTCCTTTGTGACCCGGTGCTGGATTCCAACACGCGACTTGCATCTACGACGACGGCCCACACGATAACCGGGGCGCTCCAAGACAACATAGAAATCCATACCATAGATACCAGTAGAAGGGTCATACCTGGAAACATTAAAAAATAAACAAATGAAAAGGAGAGGATATCACTGCCGATATGGTCACGTTGTTCAAGAAAATCTATA